AGCTCAATTGGTAGAGCGCTGCACCGGTATCGCAGAGGTCATGGGTTCAATTTTTTTCAGGTCCTATTTGCAACTACTCGTTTCAGTAGTGTTCTTAGCTGCGAGGATCTCCTAATTTCATGGTAGATAAAGTTAAATAAATGCAAAGTCTTGTACATTCAGGAAATTGAAATTAGATGAAGGTGCTTGAAGGTAGAATAGGGCCAATGAAGGTAAATGATGGTATATTTAGGAGGTGAAAGTAAATGAAGGAAGTTGAGGGTTAATTCATTCGAAGTTAGATAAATTTAGAAGAAGGTGAATAAAGGTAGATGAAGATAAATGATGGTAAAAGAAGGAGTAAAATGAAAATGAAGATAAGTGAAGGTAGATAAAGGTAAATGAAGATAAATGAAGGTGAATGAAGATATAAGATGGTAGATAAGGTAGATGAAGGTAGATGAAGGAAGATGAAGTTATCTGAAGGTGAATGATGGCAGATGAAAATGGATGTAGGTAGATGAAGATAAAAGATATAAGCTGAAGGAGGATGAGGATAAGTAAAGAATGGTAGATCAAAGTAAAGAATGGTACATGAAAATAGACCACGGTAGATGAAGGTAGATGAAAGCAGAGCAAGATAGATGAAGATCAATGATTGTAATTTTAGGTTGATGAAGGTAGATGAGGCCAAAAGAAGATAGATGAAGGACAAGGAAGAACAACGAAGGATATAAAGGTAAATGAGATAATAACAGGGTAGATGAAGTGAGATGAAGAAAATTAAGGTAGACTAGGGTAGATGAAGGTAAATAAAGGCAAAGGACGTGGATAAAGGACAATGAGGCATAGTATGGTAAAATTAGATATATATATATATATAAATGTATATAAATATTTTAAATATTCATTGCATGATACGTTAGAGGCCTAAGGGTAAACGATTTCATTTTTTCAGTTGCATGAAAAGCTATGGATATATATATGTATTCCATACCGACACCAAAAACAAAGATATTTGGCTCTGGTCCCAGTGAGACCAAATCCCCTTACTGGTGGTTTCTCCTTTTTGCACGTAAGACGAGTTGACGAACAGTGAATAGTTTTAGAATTAATTTTTAACCTTGTTCTGTTACATGCGACCATCTTTTGCCAGTGACCAGCCCTAAAAACAATTTTTTTTAAATTGTGCATGTGTTTTCCTCAAAAGACTAACTGACTGCGTCATCAAAAAACGACCAGAGATTCGTTTACATCATTCAATTAACTCGTACGATAGTGAGGTAAAACTGTCATTCAAAAGACTTAACAATCTGTAAATTACTTAAACAGCGTGTCTTCACGTATCCGCCATTAAGCAAATGCCGTAGGCCCTTTAGTGATCTCTTTGGCTTTAAAGAGATGTCCTCCGTTGATTTTTCCAAAGAAACCTTATGCCTTTTTTACTCGATTATAAATCAGCTTTGATAAAGCGAGAGCGGATATCTTGTGGATATCAATAGACTAAAAAACTTAAACTACGAGGAAAATGAGATAAAAATACAACAATTTTGTAGATCCCCTCTTGAGCAGGTACTTTTGCTAGGGGGAAGTTCATCCGTGAAGTCAGTCCGAGGGAATCGAATTATGTGATTGTCGACCAATTAATATGGTATATCCCCTACTCATATAAATGCTATTTTGTGCTAGAAGCCCTGTTTGTGCTTATTTTCAGTTGTACTAAAAGTAAAAGATCCCACGAAAGCTGTTCAAACTGCCCAAGACACTTCGTTCTTCTTGTTTATAACGATTCTTTAGGTTTTATATTTAATGGCCAAGGATGTTTCTGTTTGTTGTGCGAAGCTACAAGAGTGGCTCGAAACTTTGCTCCCCACATTCCTTTGATACCTATCTCCTTAAAAATGCATCGATTCTGAGGCAAACAAAGAATGCAATAGTCTATCTCACATTAGGGTCTATCTAAGAGCCGAATACGAAAGAAATAGATGTTTAAGTTGTTTTCACCGAGTGTGGATAAATTCGTTTTCAATTCTTGGAAAAGACGAATTTTGGCACGAACGATGATAAATCAGCCAAAAGCTCAGGCATAATTCTAGCTTGTTAGGGAGATATTGTAAAAAACTAAACGTAGCCGTCCACCGTGCCATTGACTCGACATTGGCAAGACATTTCCAGGGCAGCCAACTTAAAACTCAATCTTTATAAAAGAAGGTCATTCTATATACTACGAAAATGTTTACGTTTGAAAAAGTAAGCATTAGTTCTAAGCTCCCCTTTTTACCTAAGTTTATATGCATCAGATGTTACATACCCATTCCTCGGCGATTGCCACTCATTGCAGATCCTCGAACAACTATTTGCTAACAACCATTTAGTAAATAGACTAATAAAACCT